GCACCACCAGGGAGGGCCCACAAATGACTTACTTCAATGGTAAATTAAATCTTAGACTTAAAGAGAACTAGAATTCTCCTTTTGCTGAAAAGATACACTGAGGCCAGAGAGTGACCCACGTGGCGGGTCCAAATGGCGGCTTCGGTGCTTCAGACACAGGGACACAGAAACACATTATCCAAAAAGGAGCGGGAAGAATGAAGCCTCTGGCTGGGTACCATGTTGAATGGCAGAGCACCCAGAATTACCCCACGTCAGACCCCGTGAGCCCCCACAGCTTAGGGGACGGCTGGTTCACAGCTCTCTCACCAAAACTCTCCATCCTCAGCTTTCTTGTCCAGCTCTTCTTTCTGCCTCGGATCTATGCAACTCCACTCTGGGGCACTGGGGAAAATGAACAAAATTAAATTCAAAAACATTTAATGGCGAGGGGGCGAGGTGGTTTGCAGAAGGGCAAGCGATGGACTGCACCTAAACTTCCCCCAAAGGGGCAGGAGTGGATACCCAAAGCTGCAGCAGGCAGGGGGCTGCACAGGCAGCGTGGGGAGCCACCGTGGGGCCAGCCGGGGCCAAGGGCCCTGCCCCATGGCCTTGCTCTTACTCGTTTATAACTGAGACTCCCAGGCCCAGACACAGGAATGAGGGAGAAGGTCTGGGGAAAGTGCGAGAAGGCCTCCCAGAAGGCAGGCGCCCTGGGTCCATTAGTGGGTCATTCTGGTATATCCATTAGTCTGGGGTGAGCACAGGGAGAGAGGGGCTAACCGTCTGCGGTCTCGTGGACATGTCCATTCTGTGGCAAGTGGCTCAGAGTTCCGGAAATTTCCCTAAAGTAGGTCACCTGTGAGGTCTCCTGCTGGTGGCCTCTTCCTGTCCACCCCCACACACTCTGTTCAAATGCCATGTCCAACCCAACCTTTACCAAGTTAGGTTTTCCTCAAATGTGTGTGCAATGTCTAAACAACAGCACTATCAAAATTCCCTTCTCTGGATGTTTTCAGCAAAAAACGAATAGGCCTCCTTCCCTGCATGAAAGTTGGGGAGCCCGAAGCCCAGTGTCTCCTCCAACTGGCCTCTCAAGGGCCAGGGGGATCAGACAGCTGAATATCCAGCGCCTCTTTGACCTGCTGAAACAGAAGAATCAGAACTCGATCTCAGAATATGCTTGTCATAAACAACGGTTAGGACACAAGTTAGAGAATCCTAGATCTGAACGAAATCTCCCAGTTTTTTGAAAGTAAAAAAGTCATTTGAAAAAAATTTTTTTAAAAGATTTATTTATTTGTACATACAGAGCTGTGGTACAGGCCCAGAGGCTCAGGGGCAGCGAGAGGCTTTACCATAGACAGAGTGGGGAGCAGAACAGGCAGATCGATGAAGTACACTGCTGAGGGGAGCAGCGGGCGGGTCAGGAGAGGTCTGCCACACCATGTGGTCACCTCAGGGGCAGGCGGGACTCGAACTCATGCGGAAGTGGCTTTAGCTTCTCAGTTGTGCTTTAACCTGCTGCGCCACCAGGGAGGGCCTGGGTATGGGTATATTGATCCCCTCCAAGGTAACATTCTTCAGAGCATCCAATGTCTACTTAAAAAATATTTTCAGGCCCCTCCCTGGTGGCGCAGTGGGTTAAAGCACAGCACTGAGAAGCTAAAGCCACTTCAGCATGGGTTGATGCCCACCTGCCACAGAGGTGACCCTGGCACAGCAGCAGACCTCTCCTGACCCACCCGCCGCTCCCCTCAGCATTGTGCTTCATCAATCTGCCTGTTCTGCTCCCCACTCTGTCTCTGGTGAATCCTCTCACTGCCCCTGTACCTCTGGGCAGTTCTGTATGCATAAATAAATAAATCTTTATATATATATATAGCCATACCCCAGGCTGCTGGGCCTGCAGCCCGCCAGTCACCACGGCTGGCCTATGCCTGCCCAGGCTGCTGGACACTGGAAGGCACCCGGAAAGGAGATGCAGGCAAATAAATAAGCACTTTCGGCAGCCTGGTAAATAGCTGTTGATTAAAACGGCCGAAACACAGTGTTCCCATTTCATCCGGCCCTGAGAGCAGTTGGCAGGATTCAAGTTTGGGGATTGGGATTGTGTTCCGTCTTAGGCAGGAGAATGAAAAACCTTTGGTACAGGAGGTCAGTCCATGGCTCTGGGGATACGGGTTTCTCCGTGACACACCCTGAAGGGAGGGTCGCAGTACTGAGCAGAGCGGGTGTGTAACTGAGCGCAGCACGGTGCCCTCCCAAAGTGCCCGTAGCACCTCCGAAAGCAGGCAGCACGCAGGGGCACCCCGAAATGTGGGGCGGGGTTGGTATTACGACATTCCCTTCAGGCAGCTCTGCCTGTGACACCGGCCAATTCCATTTCCTTCCCCAGCTCCATCCTGCTGCCCTCCAGCAAAGCTAACTAGGCCCCTCCATGCTTTCCAGCCTCCTGCACCTCGAGACTGGGGCCCGGGCACAGCTCCCCTCAGCATCTTTGCAGGCCTCGGCACCCGTCACCATCTCTGATGACTTCCTCTCTCTGCCATCCGAGAAGAAACTCCTGTCATTAATAACTCTGTCGCGAAAGATCAATACCCTCCCGGTAATGAGCTCGCGGAGAGAGAGCGCCTTCCCCATTCATCACTGCCTGCCGTGCCGCCGACTCCTAGGATGGAGTTCCACTTTCTAAGCATCATTTCCTCTTGGCACTGAGGGGCTTGGCCTTTGTCAAAGTGTCCAGGGTTTGTGGAGTGGAAAGAATCTGATTGCAAGTGATGGATCTCACCTTTGGATCACCACGTGTGGCAGGCAGCAAACAAGCAACCCCTTCTGTGCTAAGCAACATTCGGCGGAACTGCCAAACCTCCAAATGCCAGAGCAGAGCTCCAGAATCAAAGGCCACAGTAAATGGGTTTGGTTTCACTTTTCCCACCCTGAAACCTAATTTAAGACTCTTCTGCGCTGTTGTGGACAGAAAGTGTGGCCGAACTCACTCTACTGTCGGTCTCATTGCTGTGTTTTTGGTTTTGGGGAATTTTTGCAGATGTCTTTCAGCAGAGAGAGGCAAGGACTCAGCGAGAGAGAGGGAAGAACCTACTCATCACTCCAGGCTCCTGTCCACTCCACTTCACCCCATGGATTCCTGAGTCTGATCAGCTTCTCTGGGCGGCCACGGAAATCCACCTGCCAAAGGCACACAAAATTGCACTTGAATCGCTGTGCTCCGACCGCCCCACACCCAACAGGATTTGCATTCCACAATTCTCCTCTCAGAGAGGAGAGGCTACTTCTCAATGGAATAAATAGGAAGTCTAGCACAAATACAAATTGATGTCTGCTTCAACCTGGTTATAGGTTTTTATGGTTAACTCCTACTATACAAAGCCTCCAGATAGTAAAAAGCTTCCAAACAAATGCTAGAGTTGATGGCTCAAAAGTTAGCATTTATTGAGCATATACTGTAGACTAGGCATAGTGATAAGCATTTCAAATACACAATTGCTCCATTCAAGCCTCAGGGTAACCCCTTGAACTGGTGCTGTTATTATCTTTATTTTATAGCTCAGAAACCTCAAACTAAGATAAGTTATCTGAGATTAATGGTAGGTGGAGGATGGGCATTAAGCCTATCGCCAAACTCATACACATAAACCACCTGCCCCACAGAGTCCTGAACACTCTCCATGAGTCTCCATGTTGCCCTCTCCACCCAGGCACACAGTCATGAATTTAGGGGGCTTCTGCACTCCCCTCGGGATCTCCCATCATGGCCTGCTCCAGGTACTTGATGAGTAGCATATTCATGAAACACAAATACATCTAAGACAAGCCCTCCCCACTCCACCCCACACACACACACATAGCATTTTCCATTTTTTCCTTGATCTGCCTTGGAGAAACCCAAAGGAAAATTAATTTCTCAATTGCAGCGCAGTCTTTAGCCTAAATGATCTGGTGTACTTCACTTTGGTTGTCTGGTTTTATTGTGTCTATGCTTTTCCTTATAACCCCCACAAATCCTGCTGGAAGTAGGCCTGATATAGTAAATGAAATGGTTGGGGAGTGAGGAATGCCTGTGCTCCTTCCCATTGTTATATACCACCCTGAAAGCCGGGGCAAGCATTATTGTCCTTTTCCCCCTCTGTGGGGGTGGGGTCCTAGAATTTCCACAGCTTTACCTATATAAACATACTTCTTGGAACAAGTGTAAACATCAAGTTGACAATTTCTACAACTCTCCTCCATAATCTTCTTTCTCTTCCTGCCTCAGAGGAAAGCCTGCATTCATTAGAACCATAGAGCTGTGCTCAGAGAGGCTGATGTCCATCTCCAAGTGGCAAGGGTCAGAGGGTCCTGCAATGAGCAACAGCTAACACAAATGTGGGGTGTCAGGGTTCTGGCAGCCAGGGAAAGTCTGAACCTCAGCAGGGCAAGGAAGCTGTTGATGGTGCTCCCCTCCCCCTGGATTTATGGAAATCACATGACATATTGCCCTCCCCTCCCCCACCTCACCTCCTCCACTCCAGTGATAGAGTAAGCGTGACTCTTAACCAGCTTCTGAGTGGTGATGGCTTCTGCTTCAGCTGCGCTGGAGATCTGGGGTGAGGATAAAGTCCACTCAGGATGGCTGACCCTTGGTGGGTCCAGCTCTCCAAAGCTTTTCAAGGACAGACTACAGTCACTGGGAGCTCAGTTCAGGACAGGGGGTGCAGGTACAGCAACAAGCCTCAGATAAGTAAAGCCTTCTCCATTCCAGCCCTCTCACATCAGGCCCGCAGATCCAGGCCCGCCAGCCTTCAAAATGCCACAGAAGGCTGGGAAGTTTATTCCCCAAGAGGGCCGCCCTGCTATCTGGCAAGGACCACTTACTGACGCTGGAGAAGTCCTGGGTCTCTGCACTGCCCTGGAGAAGTCCTGGGTCTCTCCTGTTCTCACTGAGCAGGTTGCCAAAAGCCCTTCTTTTTCATAGCCACCCACCACCAATTCCCAGAATGTAGCCCACACCATGTATCCACCAACACACACACATCCCCGCCTGGGGTCTCTAGAGAGAAGCAAAGGGGAATACCCCTGCTTTGCCGTTCATACATCTGAGTCACCAGCTAAGGACAAGAGAGGACGGAAGAGCCGGCAGAGAGGCAGGTGGTAACAGACTCAGGCGGAGGCCTCCGGGCTCTGGTCTCCAAGACGCTTTGGCAGGCCACATGCCCACTCCCCAGTCAAGTTCCAACCCCCAGCCTTTTTCTTCAGAGATCTCCAAGTCTACCAAGTGTTGTCAATCATCAGATTTTTTTTCTGAAATCCCAAGATTACTTAGCAAAAGGGCATGATAAAGCCTGGCAGCCAAGGACCAAGGGTCTGTTCTTAGGGCAATTCCGGCAGAAGTAAGGTGCTCTGGCACTAAGAGAACTTGAGGCTTCTACAATGGCACCACTGGTTCTACCCATTAGTTAGGGCTTAACCAGTTATGATGTGACGGGGACCAATACATCACTGTATTTGCGTGAAAGTCCCAGACTCTGTTGCGGCCCCAGGCCTTCCCACACCTCTGGCCAGGGTCTGGTCCCTTTCCTACCACACATGGGGGTGGGGGGAGCAAAGAGAAGCCGTCCTGGCTCACGTCAATGGAGCAGGCCAACAGAGACCCCGCGCGGAGGGCCTTCCGGATGATCTGATACAGGTTAGGTGGTGGCTTCTTCAGGTCAAAAAACTCAGAGATGCCACCAGTGAAATCCTCAAATCCCTCCACTGTGGACCCTCCAGAGAGCGCCTCGTATGAACCATTGAGCCTGTCGGAAAAGAAAGGAAACGGGTGTCACCCACAGCCATTGCAACCCCCGTGAGGGAAGCACGCAGGTGGGGTGGGGTGGGGGGCAGCGCTAGGACATGGACAAGGAGGGCCCAAGTTCTCCAGTGGACAGGAGGGGGCTTGGGCCCCAGTTGCACACGGCCAGCTCAGCACTCTGCAGGGATGAATCTCAGACAGCGCTTCTCCCAAAGCCACTGACTCCTCTCGGGACCCTGGGGTGGCAGCGTGGACAGGGCTGAAGGGGGCTGGGTCTCCAGACTGAGAGGCTTTCCGGGGTCGTCTTTGGAAGCGGGACTGGGAAGGATCTGAGGCTGCCGCAAACTGAGGGTGCCAGTAACTGAGATGGCTAAAAAGGGCCCCAAAGCCGGCTTGGAACCTGGAACGCCAGTGAGGAGAACAACTCCCGAGGAAGGGAGGGGTCTGGAGTTTGGAATCTAAGTACATTTGCTTTTTTCTTCCTCATCATTCTTTTACAGATGGACGTTAACCAAAAAGTCCCCGACCTTGGGGACTGAAGGAGAAAGCAAAGGCACGGTGCCCTGACGCACCGTCCACGCGGGACAGAGCTGAGCTTAGCCCCCGGCCATTGGCATCAGTTGCCAAGGGAGGAAGTGCTGGGGTGTCCGGGTGGTGGCGTGTGACCTGGGGAAGGGGTCGGGGAGACCCTCCAGGGAGACGGTGGCTCCACAAGCCCCTCAAAGCCCCACTTACTTGGCGTAGGCCTTCTCCAGCAGGGCGCTCCAGAACTCATCGCTTTCCTGGGAGTGGAGGAAGAGCAGCTTCCCGTCCTTGGTGGGCAGCCTGTCATCCACGACCACCTCCACCCACTCTCCGTACTGCCAGAACTGGGGGCAGGAAACACAGCGGCTGCCCGTCAGAGCCAGAGCAAGAGCCTGGCAGAGCGAGTCTGGGGGAGGGGGCGCCCCAGGAACCTTTGCTGAGCAAGGCTCAGGGTTCCCAGCCTTAGGGAACACAGGGCTCCTGAAGAGCAGGTCTGTATTGCTCTCCCGTGGGCACAGGGGGCAGCAGGAAAGCCAGAGTCCCCATTGCAAAAGCTGCCCAACATCACACACTAGCAACTGGAGGGGTGGGGAGCCCCATCTCCTGACTCTCACTTTCCTCGGGGCCGCCAGGCTCGGGGGAGCTAAAGAAGGAGCCACGTCATAATTGGGTGGGTGCATTAAGGCAACAAACCCGTGTGCCTCAGAATCCCCTGGCGGGACTATTAAAACACGGTCCTGGACCCAAGCCAGGGCTGCTGATTCGCGGATCTGGGCCTGAGCCCAAGAGGGTGGAAAGCAGCACACTCCATACCTGAAACCGAAATATTCCCGCGTAGTTCTTCTGGAAGCTCTGGTCCTTGGGGACCACACGGTAAAGCAGCTCTTCATTCAGGGTGAGGGAGGCAATGGCAGCCAGCAGCCAGCAGTCACCTGCGTGCCGTGGGTGCACACAGGTCAGGCCTGGTCAGCCGTCTGACCTTGGCTGTGCTCAGAGCCCACCTCACACACACCCCTTCTCCGAGGGAGTCAGATATCAGACTCCTCCTCCAGAGTCTGGGGTACTGGAGCAGCAGTGGGCACCTGGCACCTATGTGAAGTTCTTGGCTCCTTCCTCCCCCACGCTGACCCGTCCATACCTCCTGAGCACTCAGGCAGCGGAGCAGAAAATGCAAAGGAAGAGAAAAAGAAACAAAAATCTGTCTCTGTTTCCTTATTGACAACTCTGATAAAGCAGTTAGTTAGGGGAGCATTAAAACTATCTGGCCGGCTCAGGACCTGTGCATGTCAGAGTGTGTGAGTGTGAGTGTGAGTGTGTGTGTAAGCTTGAGTGTGAGTGCTCTTTAGTCCACATGACCTTGGGTGACACAAAGCTGGCTCTACATGTCTGTTTAGAAAGTGTCCTCCTTGGGACCCTCCCTGGTGGTGCAACAGGTAAGGATGAAGCACTGCAAGGTAGCCACAGCTGCCTCAGTGCAAGTTCAATTCCCACCCTGGAGGTGACCACATGGCGCGGCAGACCTCTCCTGACCTGCCCACTGCTCCCCTCAGCAATGCACTTCGTCGATCTACCTGTTCTGCCCCCCACTCTGCGTCTGGTGAGTCCTCTCACCGTCCCTGCACCTCTGGCCTGTACCCCAGCTCTGTGTGCATTAATAAATAGATCTTTAAAAAAAAAAAAATCCAAGTCTTTTTCAGGTGATTTCAGATGGACGCCCCTTTACCATTTAGAGGCCCTCTGAAGAGTTGTCTGGCCTGAGTTTTTTTCCACTGGTCAAAATTAGGTACAGATTCCAGGACTTTTCCTCACCTGAAACCATGCTTTTCCCAGACTCCAGTTTCACCAGTGGTACCGAAAGTGTGACCCGCCTCTGGGGACCTGTTGTGGCTCAGAGGGGCTTTATTTACCCTCATCTCCCTCAACAAAGAGGTTCGTGATATGGCCCCAAATTAATGGCTTCCCACCTTCCTTCCTCAGCCAGTGTCATTGTAACAGGTTTCATGGACTCCGCCCCTACTCCAGATGCTGGAACTCCAAATCCCATCAGTACCAAGGAGAAGCGCGCCGGGACGTGAGGGCGGAGCCGAGCAGCCAGGTTGGGATAAAACCGGACATGTGGGCTCTGGGGGGACCTGGTGGTTCGCAGCTGATCGTTTTGGCGCTCAATCGGTTTTTAGCGTGCCGGTGGCGTCCAAGTCAGCAGAGCTGGTAGGACATCCTAGTTAACCTGTGTTTCTCTCCCTCTTTCCCTGGGTTATTCCTTTACTTTTTTTCTTATAAATAAATCCATTATTTAACCTTTTGAGTGTGTCCATAATACGAGTGAATCGTAAGTGCGCGGGTGAAGACCCACAGACAGGCCACCCAATTCACATTGGGGTACCCTGTAACATCATTACTAATTTCCGTTCTCTCTCTCACCTTTTGAAGTTTTTCTCACCCAGGAGGCAGCCTGCTTCCTACTCTGCTCCCACCCCAGACTCCCCTTCACTGACAGACGCCACGCTTCTCCCTGTCCCAAGTGAGACCAGGCCAGGTAGCCGAGGCCGGGAGTGGCCATGGACTGCCCACTCAGGCGGGGCGGGGCGAGCTCCAAAGAATGAGCGAGCACAGTAGGATTTCCGCCTTCCATGCCACTCTTCTCCCTTTGCTGGGAAACTTCCAACTTCCTCCAGTTGCAACATCAAAATAAAAACTCCTCCAGGACATCAAAACCCTTCACAATATGACCCCAACCTGCCCTCCAGCGCGCCCCCATCAGCCTCCAGCAGTGGGTCTAATCTCCCTTCCAACAAGAAACCAGCTCTTCCTCTGCTTGCTCACTGGTTTCCTCTACTTGCAAAGTCCTTGCTGAGACATCACAGGCAGAATCTTTCTCCACGAAGCCTCCCCAGATGCCTCCCAAACTTGAACGACACATCACCTTTTTCCTCTGTGTTTTCTGTTTAGACAACTTTGTGCACAGACCACAAGCTGCCTTCGATCACAGCCATCACTGGGCTGGAAGCTCCATTTCACACGCGCCAGTTGGCAGGGTTTTCCTGACCCAGTCCCCAGGCTGCCTCGGTGCCGATGGGTCCTCAAGCACCAGCCCCT